ACAGCAGGGGACAGGTGAGCGGGTGTACAGGAAAAGCGAGTACGCAGGTTAAATTAGACGAACAGTTTCTGTTTCTGAAGAGCAGCAAACACTCAGCACGCCATGTTCACCTGACCGCTATCACAAGATAACTCACAAAATCTCAGAAACAGGACATCATTTCTAAGTAAAACACCATATTCCCTGCATTTTAATAGTGATGAAAATATAAGTGTTAACATAGGCGTCAATCGGCCAACTTTTCGCCAACTTTTGGCCGATTGCCGATTATTCTCTAATGGCTATAATTGGCCAATTAAATCGGCCGGCCGATAAATCCGTCGGGCCCTAATAATAATATATCATATTCATTAGCAGTATTAATTTGACATCTATTTTAGATTTAGTCTTAGCCTTGAGATGAAAATGGTTATTAGTTTTAGTCACATTTTAATCATTTTTATCCCTCATAGTTTCAGTCTAGTCGACCAAAATTCAAAACATTTTAGTCCATTAATTCATTAATTAATGTATCAGAAATTAGAATCAAGGTGACAGGTTGGATAAAAATTTCATTTTGACAATTTTTTGCTCCAACTACAAATCATTTCTACACACTTACAAACTATCATTTCTCCATCAGTGTTTGATACGTTTAAGGGGTGATTTATAAGCACACACTTACTGATCATCATTTGAAAAGCTCAACATCTCTATATTTATGCTCTCAAAAACTTTGACACCACAAATAACTAATCTGAGACAACTAAGATTTGTACCCAGGTTCATGCTAAACTGTGATTTATCGATCTCACTGTGAAGAAGCAGAGAAATAACTTAAATGAAGCCTGAATTCTTTTTTAATCTGTAACATGTTAATCTGGAGGTTTTAACTCATGTCTCTGAGTTGCAGATTAAAACTTAATTAAACAGCATCAGCCACCCCAAGACAAGATTTGAGTGGATCCTGTAGGGATTAACAGACTTGAAATCTGGTGGCCAGTGGCTGCTTGCTCCGCTAAAAAACTTTCGTTAAAGTTTCTGTCAACGAAATTAACACTGTTCATTAGTTGATTTATATTTTACATCTAAGTGTGCAATACAAATAAAAAATCACATTTGTTTCTAAAATATAGTGAAGTATAAAGTGGCAATAAATGGAAATATTTCAGTACAGTAAAAGTACCTCAAAAATTGTACTGTAGTACTAAACCAGTCTAGTACAGGTCTTTGACCCAGGAGACTGGTGTTTGTGTTCCATGTGAAAATAACTTAGTCAGTGAGTTGTCAGTCACTTGTTGTTTATTAGTCAGCTGAGTGTACTGATGTCACTGAAGTCAAGCACAACCTTTTCCTAACCCTCACCAAACCTAACTGCTGACCCCTTAAAAGTCACAAGTCGACTCATGTGACAAACACTGACCTTACCAAGTAGTTTTGTTGCTTACACCTTCTTAGTGACTCTTCTTAGTCATGTGCATTTGCTTGCGTGAGTTACAGCCAACCACCTTTTGCATCCAGATCGTCCAATTCCCTCTGCATCAAGACACAATAGAAAAGGTGGTCAAGAGTGGTAATACAACTCTATAGCAATACTAAATAAACACTGTAATATAACCATAATTCCCCATAAAATTTCCATAGCAAAATTATTGTATTAATTTTCTATAGTGTAAAAGAAAATGTACTGTTTGGGGCACATTTTGTCTTGTATTTCTGTGCACACCTTGCTCTAATGCATAAACTTTAACATGCTTGGAATGGCATTAGAAGTAATTAAATCAAAAGAGCTTTTTGGGACATAGCAGAGAAATGCTGATTCAGTAAATCTCAAATATTAAACCAAGCTGGAGGCGAAATCCAGTGTATCAGTGAAGCTGCAGGTGGTCGGGGGCTGACCACTGTACCTGGCCAGGAAGCAATGGCAACTGGCTCACTCTCTAATGTAATTCCCCACCTCACTACCTACAGGAGGCAACCAGCCTCCCCTCAAAACACTGAAACAGTTCTCCTGTCACCACTGGAAAGGCTTCCCTGATTCTTAATGTCACCACACTAAAAGTGCTGGATGGCACCACCACAACCAACCCAAACAAGGTGAGTAGGTGCTCTGCCTTGTACGTAGTCAAGTCTAGCATGGAGGGAGTGACAGAGAAGCAGAATATGACACAATAATTGTAATGACTGGAGAAAAACCATTAAAAACACCCAGTTATAGGGGATCAAGAGTGCAACATACAAACATACAGTACAGGCCAAAAGTTTGGACACACCTTCTCATTCAATGCGTTTTCTTTATTTTCATGACTATTTACATTGTAGATTCTCACTGAAGGCATCAAAACTATGAATGAACACATGTGGAGTTATGTACTTAACAAAAAAAGGTGAAATAACTGAAAACATGTTTTATATTCTAGTTTCTTCAAAATAGCCACCCTTTGCTCTGATTACTGCTTTGCACACTCTTGGCATTCTCTCCATGAGCTTCAAGAGGTAGTCACCTGAAATGGTTTTCCAACAGTCTTGAAGGAGTTCCCAGAGGTGTTTAGCACTTGTTGGCCCCTTTGCCTTCACTCTGCGGTCCAGCTCACCCCAAACCATCTCGACTGGGTTCAGGTCCGGTGACTGTGGAGGCCAGGTCATCTGCCGCAGCACTCCATCACTCTCCTTCTTGGTCAAATAGCCCTTACACAGCCTGGAGGTGTGTTTGGGGTCATTGTCCTGTTGAAAAATAAATGATCGTCCAACTAAACGCAAACCGGATGGGATGGCATGTCGCTGCAGGATGCTGTGGTAGCCATGCTGGTTCAGTGTGCCTTCAATTTTGAATAAATCCCCAACAGTGTCACCAGCAAAACACCCCCACACCATCACACCTCCTCCTCCATGCTTCACAGTGGGAACCAGGCATGTGGAATCCATCCGTTCACCTTTTCTGCGTCTCACAAAGACACAGCGGTTGGAACCAAAGATCTCAAATTTGGACTCATCAGACCAAAGCACAGATTTCCACTGGTCTAATGTCCATTCCTTGTGTTTCTTGGCCCAAACAAATCTCTTCTGCTTGTTGCCTCTCCTTAGCAGTGGTTTCCTAGCAGCTATTTGACCATGAAGGCCTGATTTGCGCAGTCTCCTCTTAACAGTTGTTCTAGAGATGGGTCTGCTGCTAGAACTCTGTGTGGCATTCATCTGGTCTCTGATCTGAGCTGCTGTTAACTTGCGATTTCTGAGGCTGGTGACTCGGATGAACTTATCCTCAGAAGCAGAGGTGACTCTTGGTCTTCCTTTCCTGGGTCGGTCCTCATGTGTGCCAGTTTCGTTGTAGCGCTTGATGGTTTTTGCGACTCCACTTGGGGACACATTTAAAGTTTTTGCAATTTTCCGGAATGACTGACCTTCATTTCTTAAAGTAATGATGGCCACTCGTTCTTCTTTAGTTAGCTGATTGGTTCTTGCCATAATATGAATTTTAACAGTTGTCCAATAGGGCTGTCGGCTGTGTATTAACCTGACTTCTGCACAACACAACTGATGGTCCCAACCCCATTGATAAAGCAAGAAATTCCACTAATTAACCCTGATAAGGCACACCTGTGAAGTGGAAACCATTTCAGGTGACTACCTCTTGAAGCTCATGGAGAGAATGCCAAGAGTGTGCAAAACAGTAATCAGAGCAAAGGGTGGCTATTTTGAAGAAACTAGAATATAAAACATGTTTTCAGTTATTTCACCTTTTTTTGTTAAGTACATAACTCCACATGTGTTCATTCATAGTTTTGATGCCTTCAGTGAGAATCTACAATGTAAATAGTCATGAAAATAAAGAAAACGCATTGAATGAGAAGGTGTGTCCAAACTTTTGGTCTGTACTGTACATTTAATAATTTCCATTTAATATGTTCTATGTGTGATTTCCAACATAGTTTGTGATGTAAAATCACTCCCAAATTTTGTTTCATACACTCTTTCATTTAAAAATCAGTTTCACTTCACAATTAGCCCTAATACCCCTAAACACCATAAATTTTGTTTAATATTTATTTAGTGATAACTTATTAACAGCAAACCATTTTGTCAACATGATCAGTTCCCTTTCTACTGATTTTAATAACTCTTTCGTGTCCTCATCTGATGAAAATAAATTTGTGTCGTATGCAAACATTACAAATTTCAACATATTAGATACTGCACAAATATTATTTCAATAATGTATAAATACATTATTGTATGTATTAGACCCTCAGATCTAAGGTACAGATCTCTTGCTTTTAAAACAAAGAGAGCCATGTCCAGCTTTGTACCCTCATCCATCAGACTAATGAATAACAGCTGATTTGATCTGATATGTATGCTTGTGGGTGTGTGTGTTTGTTCTTCTCTCCTTTTGACATTTGTATTTGTATTTTTAACATTTTAACATTTGTATTTATCTATTTGTATTTATTTTGTTTAATATGCACTATCACTCTTAACAGACGAAGTTCCTAACGGAAAAATAAAGTTCTTTGAATTGAATTGAATTGAATAACTTAGGTCCTAATACCGAATCTTGTGGAACACAACAGGTTACTCCTCTAAGATGCGATTCAGTATAATTCATTTTTACATATTGACACCTGTTATTTGAATAACTTCTTAACTCATATCATAGCGTTCCCATTTCTTAAGACATAGGGAATGATCGATTGTGTCAAACGAATCAAACAAAGTAAAGGCAATCTGCAAAACAAAGGGACACAATTTTATTTACTTCACTTTACTTTATTTACTTCACTTCTTTATGTATAAATGCAGACGTGGTAACTGAGTGGGTCATTGTTTTTTCCACAAACTATTTCCCACCAGTATAAATAGAAAATGTGGTGACTGCTGAACCTCAAAGGGACAGTACACATCATCTGCCCTCTGCAGCATTTCGGCTGCTGTATACTAACACTTGCAACTGTGTACATACAGTATACATACTGCAGTATATTCTACATTAAGTGTGTGTGTGTCTGTGTGTCATTTTTCTGCAGCAACGTGGGTCGGAGGTGGTTTTATCCTGGGTATTGCTGAGGCGGTGTACTCTCCTAAAATGGGCTTAATATGGGCTCTTATGCCTGTGTATTACGCAGTGTCTTTCATAATAGGTAAGACATGTCACACACTATAAAGGCAAAAAGCTGTACTGATCCTGAATTACACAGTGTAAATACAGTATAAACTTTAATATCTCATCCAATGCAAAAGGTGGTCTTTTCTTTGCCAAGCCAATGAGGGATAAGGAGTATGTCACCATGATGGACCCATTCCAGATAAAGTATGGCAAAATACTGAGTGGTGCTCTAGTGCTGCCTTCTCTGCTGGTGGATGTGCTGTGGGTGTCCTGCACTCTGCTAAGCTTAGGTAAACATTTATACCTACCTAATAATGCAAAACAAAAAAAATAAAACAATTAGTGGAGGCAAACAAAGCGTTTCCATTACTGTTTGTGGGTTTGTCTAACAGGATCAACTATGAGTGTGATTCTGGACTTGCCCTATGCCTATTCTGTTTGGATCTCATCAGCTGTGGCCATTATCTACACATTGCTAGGAGGCCTCTATTCGGTGGCGTACACTGATGTTATCCAGCTCTGTTTAGTTTTCCTCAGTTTGGTGAGTTACACCGCCTTATACAGTAGCACATGTTCATTTTAATGATACAGTATCTGCACGTATGTGACATCTAGTATAAAGCTCTACCAACCGATATGTATTTAACCTTCATCTTGATAGCACAAGTGAATGCTAGACAAAGAGCATAAGAACATTCAGCTTAAAGTTCATTAGACGGATACATCTTTTTGGAATGTATGCAATCAAATAAGCTCTGTTTGTGGAAGTTCAGTGACTGTTGTGTGGTGTGTCAGTCTAAAGAGGTCCAGATTTTCCAAAATGAAATGGAGCTTCAAAGCATTTCACAGAAAAAGCATGAAGGGCAGTGACATTAAAAACTGAAGCTGTGGAACTGCTTTTGGATGATTTGGTTATGTGGAGCCCAAATCATTATTATTATTATCATTATTATTGCCTTTATTTAACTGAGGTGTCCCATTGTGATAGAAAATCTCTTTTACAAGACAGACCTGACCAAGGTAGCAGCCAATCAAAACACATTAAAATGCAACAAATGCAACATATGATTAAAAAATCCACAATAAAACAACAGCTATTCAAACATAGTGGCCTCTTGAGAAAAACAAGCACATCTCTATCATCACATCCTTTATGATACCCTTAAATTCACCTATACCCTATACTGGGTATAGGTGTATCTAATTTTAGATCTTTTTCAAGATTGTTCCATGCCCACAGTGCATAGTAGGAAAATGCACTTTTTACCAGATCTGTTAAAACCTGGGGTACATTAGAAAGCAACCACTTGGAGGAGGGTAGCTGGTAATAACCAGAGCTGGCACACAGCAGGTTGCAGAGGTAGGTCCAAAGTTTGCCCAGTATTACTTTATAGATAAAAAATATACCAGTGCTGTTGTCTGTGAGTGGTCAGTGACGTCCAACCCACCAAATCATAAAGAATGCAGTCAGTGAGGGACTTTGCATTTGTAATAAAATGTAGAGATGCATGGTATACTGAATCCGGGCTACATAAAATGGAGGAGGGTGCATGCACTTACACTTTGTCACCATAATCAATCACAGACTGAAAACTAACTTCCACAAGTTTTTTTCTTAGCACTGAAAGTAAAAGATTTATTTCTAAAATAAAAGCCAATCTTCACTGTAAGCTTCCTAACTAGAGTAGCAATATGTACAATAAATGAAAGCATGTTATCTATCCATATACAAAAGTACTTGTTTGAGGGCACCCTTTCAAGGGATTTACCATTGGAATTAAAAGTGCAAATATCATCAAGCAACTGTGAGCAAGCTTTTGAGAAGACCATGAACTTTGTTTTCTGAGAATTTAAAATCAATTTAAAATTTAGCAGAGCAGTTTGTGTTGACTGAAATGCTCTTGTACCGCCTGCATTATGGAGGGAGCATGCGTTATATGCAGATGCATATAAATGAATGTTGCTTGAATGTCTTTACACAAATCATTTATAAGAACAGAAAACAAAATAGGCCCCAAGATGGAACCCTGGGAGATACCTTTATGCCTGGTACACACTCCAAGATATCAGCCCGATTCTAGCCCGACGCAGCAATGTATGGTGTCGACATGGATTGTGAACGACAATGAGTGTCATACCCGATAATCCATCGTTTCATCTGGTGTAGTATGTCATAGTTAACGACAACCAACGCCACATTTGGGATGCCTCTTGATGTTCCAACAGAAAGTCCAGAATGTTTGATTTTCTTTTTGTCTCTCACAACTTCTCCCGTCACAGCCGTCACTTTGACCAATAGGACCACAGAGTGATCTGCTGCCATGGACAAATGTATGATAACAACACCCCAGCATTTTAGATATTTTAGATATTTCCTCTAGGGATGTTACCACACAGAGTAAAAAGGAGAAAATGCAGACATGAAACAGCAGAGGCACTTTATCAACCCAGTGAGTACTGCCATTAGCATCAAGCTAGCAAACAATGTTATTTCTCCATAATGGCTTACATAAGTAAGAAAATCAAAAAATAGTGGCAGGGCTTTTACTTACCACAACTGCAGAGGGTACCAGCTTTATTTAAAACAGACTACATTATAAATGGGCCGTTATTTATTATTCCCTCTGTAGTTTTATATTTTTATTTTTTATCTGCTTCCGTTTGCCTTGATAAAGTTATTGCATTTCAAGCTCAACACTTCCTGTATCTGTTTAAAATCAAAAGCCCCTTATAACTTCAGTTGAGAGAATCCTTTCATTTTCTAAATATTGTAAAACATTTTCAGGAACTTGTTGTGGAGGATTCAGTGACTTGTATGTTTGTGTGCACCGCACACCGCCCCGCGCGCTCTGTGTGAAACAGGGTTTACTCTGGTTTGATTTCTACGTTTGTCACTCTCTCATTTTGCCTTTTTTCCTTCTTCTGAACATTGCGGAGGTTGGGGAGGACCAGCGGGACCAGCTCCAGAGGCTTCGGAAACTTTCCTGGGCCGTTTCTTTGGGTTTTTCAGACATCTTTCAGTAGCTCCTCTGCTAGCCTCGTCGTCTCCAACATTTCCAACTGCGCATGTGCTCTTTGAACTCTACGTCAAATGTGTCATTTCCTGTGCAACAGCGTGGGAATGTCGCTCCTGAGAGGCAATAGCACTTCTAAGCAAACCAGAGACTGTTGTGTGCTGGAGATGCGTTCAATGATCATCCTAATAACTCCTTTGGCAGTGGCTGTAATGTAACGGACATTGGTATATATTTAAAAACTCCACAGGGCAGCTTTAAATCGAAATATAATATGGGATTCCTTACGGGGACTCCTCTTAACTATTGTCACAAGATGGCAGTATGACTCCATGTTAAATGAGGGTTTAAACACATGAAATTATAACTCACTCACACTATGACCTACAAGAGTGAAAAAAAATCATTCAACTAACAAACAAACAAGGATTATGCACAGTTACAATGTTAGAACATGGATAAAATGTATAGTTTTACTTTCAAGGGACATTTCAAGTTGGATACAAGAGAAACTTAGTTTCTGCTCAGGAATGCATACTGAATTTACGACCTCCATATCTGTTCTATATCTCATCTTCACCAGGTTGAGAACCAGATAGAGCTGGTGTGGCTCCCATAGATGTGACAAAAGGGGGAAAGAATGTGGTGAACTTAAAAGCATAGTTAATGACCCCAATCTGGCAGGTAATCTGGCTGAGTTGTCAAATGCTGAATTTTTCCAGGATGCTAATCAGCAACTGGGATCTGGAGGGTTTCCAGTTGACCCCTTTACCACCCTTAGCGTCACGATGACGGTGAAAGAGTTCATCAACAAAGAGGTGAGGTCGGGACAAAGCAATAAACATTTGACCCTCAGAGTGGCCCATCTCACCCCTGTCCATTTACTTAAAATCTAGGTTTTGGGAGAGTTCAGAAGGCTGTTTTTCCTACAGTAGATACTGCCCCTTGGGAGAACACCATCTTAGAAAAACTCAATCCTGCAATAAAAGTTATTTATTACAGACTTCACATCTTTTGAACCTTTCACTGGAGAGGGAAAAACACAGAAAACCAACACCTCCAAAAACCACCTAGGCCAAACAGTTGTGTTGTTAGGTTTGATGAATTGATTGAAACTGATTAATTGACTTGCTGTTCTAATGTCTTCGGTCTGATGATCTCAATGTTTTCTCTCCAGTGGTTGTGTATCCCATTCCTGCTGCTCAACCCCACATCTACAAACATTGCCCAGACTGCATTCAATCACACGTTCCAAGAACCCTGGGTCAGCAATCTGGAGCAAGACAAAATCTGGAAGTGGATTGATGACTTCTTAATGATTGTAAGAGCAATATTCATGTGTCATACTTTTCTGCTTCCATCCATAAACTCAGAGCAAAGCTGCATGTCAGTAGGACAGTCAATACACCACCAATACATTCACATGTACTTAAACTGAAATTGTCATGAAATGAGATAACCTTTTAATGTAAGACAATAGAGTACTCACTACTGGGTCTTTGTGGTGATCACATACAGATGTTCTTTTAAAATGTCAGGAGTACTGCGCTTATTCCATCTTGCAGATTCCATAGGTGGAAAAGTCTCCTTTAAAAACAGTCCAAGGAACACTGTAGAATTTGTGCAGATTAAAATGATTTTAATTTACATGGCAGTATGTATTTAAAGTGATCACCGCACTGCGACCAACACAGATCTTCTTCAGGGTCATTGACAGCTCTAGCTTACACACTTATATTGTGTAACACCAGTGTTGAGCAGTAACATGTTAATAGTAACGCTGTTAGTTTTGGCAGTAACTAATACTCTAATGCGTTAGTTTTTAAATTCAGTAACTCAGTTACCGTTACCAAAACGTGCCTTACTCCGTTATTTTTGGCCAGGTTTTAAAATGGCGCACAGCATGCAGTATTCCTTCACAAACTGAAGTTCCCTTTCACTAAAACATTTTAGCCCTAAACAATAAAAGATGGTCAAGTCAGACAGAGGTATATGAACAATTCTTACCAGAGCATCTTAATGAAACACGTCTCTCTCACCATCTCTGAAGTCACTGTCGACCTGCTGGCCTCAACACAGTGCTGTAACGTTACATTAAGCGGTAGCGCTTCTGTGGATTTTTAGTCCAAGTAACGTTATATCCAGTGACGTGATATCCATTGTTATCCAGAGGAAGCTTTTGTTGTGGACAGACAATGTCTGCGGTGGGTGACTCGACTCGACATCATCATGTAGCTCTTCAAATGTTCTCTTTAGCTCATTTTCCATATTTGTATCTAAGTACTGTAGTTGTAAAACATTTAGCTGCCTGACAGCGAGTGACTCCACTGTAGAAGATAGTTGCATGTTTCCTGTACCGTTCAATTGTTTTGTCAAGTTGTAGTCTAACAGTCCATTGGTTAAACGCCGCTGTCGCTTATCAGAATCATAATCAGAATCAGAAATACTTTATTGATCCCCGAGGGGAAATTATTTATGTTACAGGTGCTCCTTGCAAGAGAGGAAAGATACGAGAAAATATAAAAAATTTAAACAATAGTATTTACCAGAGATGGGGACTTGAGTCATTGTGACTTGGACTTGAGTTGACTCGAGTTGCTCTTTTGATGACTTGTGACTTGACTTGACAAAAAATAAAAGACTTGAGACTTGACTCGGACTTGGAAGTTAAAGACTCGGGACTTGACTTGACTTGAGACACAATGACTTGAATGACTTGAGTGTTATTCAGATCGTGTTTTCAGTTAGAATGTAAAATTAATAAATTAAATTTAAAAAATAATGTTGATTACCCGGTAGGAGCGCAGGCTAAGAATGGCGTTGTCATGATTGGATCACTACCCTGTCAATCAGTCATGCCCTCTCTACGTACCTTACGTGTTTATTGGAGAAACAGGCCCTCTTATATCAGATAGGCATCAACATGTCAGCGGGAGGGGTACCGAGAGTCATCGTCTTCGGCTTTCAGAATTACCATTATTACAGGCAAAAGACGAACAGCACAGTGCAAGACATGCAGCATAAACATCTCGGACAGCCAGGCGACAACTTCAAACTTTGTTCGTCATTTGAAGAGCCATTCTGCCCAGTAAGTTCTTGTCAATTAGCTAATATTATCTGGTTAGTCGGTAGTTAGCTAATGTTAGCTTGATACGATACAGGGGTGGGGTGGGGTCGGGGGGTGGGTCGGTTTGGTGGAACTTGTTTTTTAATTTATTTGCTAACATTAACCCCAGAAAACGTGAGTAAACATTCCGACCGGTTCATCACAAGACCGGCTGTACGTTTTATGAATGAGCAACACAGGGTTAAATGAGCTAAATGGGTGATTTTGGCCGCTGCCTTGGTTAGTGTGTGTGTGTGTGTGTGTGTGTGTGTGTGTGTGTGTGCACGCACGCATGGGGGTCATCCCTGCAAAGTAAACATTGCAGCGATGAAGTCAATGTTTACTGACAGTTACTTATATCTTGTCTTTTCACTTTATTTAGATCAGATTCTGCAGGTAAAATTACAATAATAAGGTGACTTGACTTGGACTTGACTTGACCTATTACAGGACTTGACTTGACTTGACATAACCTGTGACTTGACTTGACTTGACTTGACTTGACCAAGACAAAATGACTTGGGACTTACTTGAGACTTGAAGGTTAAGACTTGAGACTTGTACATGTGTGACTTGGTCCCATCTCTGGATTTAACTGTGTACACATCCCAACCTCAACAAGACTGTTGCATGGTTGCTCCTCCAGAAAATGGGCAGCACCGCTCTGCAGCCATTTCTGAAGGGTGTATAGCAGTGAACAGGAACAGGACAGCACCTCATATTCCCATCGTTATACTAGTCCTTATTCACCATAAAGCACACTTCTCCTGTCCTTCCCCTGCCAGAGTCCTCTGCTCTGTCAGATCAGCATATAGAAAAAGAGTCACCTTGTTGAATGGTGCTGTCCAGGATTTAGCCAAGTTTCAGTGAATCAAAGGATATTACAGTTTTTGATATTATGTTGGATATTATGTTGGAAACTGATGTGGCATGGAGAATTAAGGAGGGGCAAGGACAGCTACAGGAGGAAGTTGGAGGAGCGCCTTCAACACAACAACGTAAGAGAGGTGTGGAGAGGCCTGAACACAATCTCTGGCCACAACAACAACAGCGGGAGGGGCCCAGAGTCCGGAGACCGGGGGTGGGCGAATGAACTGAACCTGTTTTTCAACAGGTTTGATTCTGCTCCCTCTCCCTCCCCCACCCACCAGGGCACAGACCCAGGGCCCTCTCACCCTCTCTGGCACACCTCCTCCCCCTCCCTCAGGACATCAGGGACATCAGCTGCGCCCTCCCCTCGCCTCTTTACCCCCCTCCACTTCACACCTCCCTCCCCCCATCTTCCTCAGCTGGAGTCATCCCCCACCCCCCGCTGCAGCCTCTCCATAACAGCTGACCCAGGAGAGGAAGGGGCTCATGAAGATCAAGGCAAGAAAGGCTACTGGTCCGGATGGCATCAGCTCCAGACTGCTGAGGGACTGTGCAGTCCAGCTCTGTCAGGTGGTTCTGCACATCTTAAACCTCAGCCTCAGTCTGGAGAAGGTTCCTGTCCTGTGGAAGACTTCCTGCGTGGTTCCTGTAAGACTGCACACCCCAGGGAGCCCAACCACTTCAGCCCTGACCTCCCACCTGATGAAGACCATGGAGAGGATTATACTGAACTACCTCAAACTCCTGGTTAGAACAAAACTGGACCCCTCAGACAGGCATTGGGGTAGATGATGCAGTCATCTACCTGCTCCACCGATCACTGTCTCGCCTGGAGAACACTGAAAGTGCTGTGAGAGTCATGTTTTTTTACTTTTCCATCACTTTCAATACAATACAGCCATCTTTGCTCAGGGGGAAGCTGGAAAGAGCTGAAGTTGACCGCCACCTTGCTGCGTAGACCATCGACTACCTTACCAGCAGACCACAGTATGTGAGGCTTTGTGACTGTGTGTCTGAGGTGGTAGTCTGCAGCACAGGGGCTCCACAGGGGACAGTCCTCGCCCCCTTCCTCTTCACCCTGTACACATCGAACTTCAGATACAACACAGACAGCTGCCACCTCCAGAAGTTCTCTGATGATACAGCCTTTTCTGTCCGTGCACTGAGCAACACTGATATCAAACAAAAGCTGGAGACTGTTATTGTATAAAGTTGCTGTGAGCTGTGAATTTACCACCTCTAGGCAGAGGCCAGAAGACAGTGTTATCTTGGAGCCTGACTAGGCAAAACTTCCCTTCCTCCAGACAGCTGCTTTCATCTCACTTAGACTCAGCCTGGGTCTGGGTCCGCAGCTGCCTGTACCAGAGACCAGTGTGAAAAAGAGAAATCCTCACTCTGCAGCTAAATCTGGGGACATTTAGCTGCAGAGTGAGGATCAGTGCATACTGATTGACAAATTTAAAAAGAGAGGTAGAATCTTTGACTTGTAGGGGGCAGCCCTACTAAAGGCTACTGTGTTTAAACGTAAAGTAATCATAGCTCCAGCAAACCTGTGAAGGAAAACATTTGGTTACACTTTCTATGAAGACCACACCTATAATGCGTAATGAGGGCATTTATTGTGAATTATAATGCGTTTTTATTGCTCTGTGATAACACTCTTAAAAACACATAATGCTTCCTAATGCTCTGTACCAGCAGTCATAAAACATTATAGATGTTACTTGAATTATAAGTGTCTTATGGATGCTTTTGACTAGTTATTAACTAGATGTTGACTGATGGGGCTTATAATGCATTATGAACACCTATACTCACCTCAACAATTAACTGTAGTAAGGCCTCATAGTATGTTATAATAGTCAATGCAGTATCATAAGTTACCATTGTATGTGTTAAGTAAAAGTACATATTGATGTATCTATAATAATGCATGCTTCATCATAACCTTTCATTGTTGGTGCTACATAAAGTGTGATGCATTTTCATACTGTTTAAAAAAAATCTATAAGGCTTCATAAATGATTAATGTCTATCATAATCTGGAACCCTTTGAAAATAATTTTAAAAGACTAAAGACACCCTCTCACATCTAAAGACAATGTGTCATGAGTCAGAGAGGTTTTAGTAACAGAATAAGATTTTACAAATACATTGCAGGATCTCTATTTGCAAGATTGTTAGCTTCAAAAAGAAAAAAAAGTGGACAGAAATTGCTGCAGCCCCTGAAATCCCTAGTAAGTATGTTATATGCTATAGCTAGGTAGCTAACCACTGTCCATATCCATCCATCCATCCATCCATCCATCCATCCATCCATCCATTACCCTAATTGTAAGCTAACA